AAAAAAAAAAAAAAGGTTCTAAAACAGAGCCAAGAGCAGTTTCCTAGTTCATGTCTCTCATTATGGGCCACAGCACAGACCCAGTCCCCTGGCCATGGCCTCAGCTGAACCTGGCAGCTCCCAGCAGCTCCCTCTTTCTTTGATGTTGTCCCTGGAAGCTTCAGGACCTGGCAAAGTCCCTTCATCAATGTTGGCAGCAACCTACAGCATAATCCAAGCGACCTTGGGAAGATGTACTGTGTGGCTCCGCCCTCCACCTGTGTCTTCCGGTTCACTCTTCCCCACACACCACAGCCTTCTCACTTCTCCCTCTCACTCAGTGTCACTGCCAGAAGACACCCTGCTTCCTGTCTCTCCGATTCCAGAGGCAGAAGCATAAAGCTTCCTTCTACCCACTTCAATGTCTCCAGGAAGTGGCAGAGATCTGCTCCCTGGGGAAGCACAGCTCCTTCCTGTGGGGCTCACACTCTAGAAATGGGTTGTGCTCTGAGGCCAGCCTTCTGCTTCTGCTCCAGTGTTTTCTCTACACCCTCCATCCCTCTCTATTCATCCACATATAATCACACTATTAGCTTTCTCACATGGCACAAAAAGAAGTAAAAGCCCATGCGGGGGTCTGAGGAGGTGGCTCAGTGATTGAAGTATTTGATGTACAAGCATGAAGTCTGGAGTTCGGATCCCCAAAATCCAGGTAAAATGGAAGCTCACCTGAAATCCCAGCACTCTGAAGGTAGAAAGAAGGGATTCCAAAGCAAGCTGGCTAGCCGGACTAGTCATCTATGGGTTCACTCAAGAATAAATAAGGCAGAGAACCAATGAAGAGTCCTGACATCAATCCCAGGCCTCCACATACAGGGTAACCACCACGCATGGGCATCTACACACACACACACACACACACACACACACACACACACGCACACACACACGCACACACACACGCACACGCACACGCACACGCACACGCACATGCACACCACACATACTCGTACAGAAGAGAAGAAAGCCCATGTCTGTACTTTTCCCAGTGACCATCCACCTCATTGCTCTGTTCTTTTGACAGCACAATTCCTTCAGAAAATGTGTGTGTGTGTTGTCTGTTTCTCCTCATGCTAGTCCGTATTGACAATGCATTGTTTTAATTTTATTGAGATATTATCCATATACGTGATTCACATATATAGTATTATACACACACATTGCCCATATCAATCATAAAGGTACATCTTGATGGATCTTCACAAACTTAACCCACTCATATAACTAGAACTAGAATTTTAAAAAAGATGTACAAAAAGCCAGTTCTCCAAACTCAACGATAGAAAATCCCAACAGCTCTATTCAAAACCAGGCAAGAACCTGGACATTTCACCAAAGAGTATAAAAATGGCCAAACATCACATGAAAAAGAGCTCTGTAAACCTTAGGAAACTGCAAATCAAAACTAATGAGGCCAAGTTTGGTGGCACAGCTTGTAGTCATAGCATTGGCTGAGGCAGGAGGATGACCAGCTCAAGGTCCCGGGAACCCAATATAAACTCTGTGGTATAAATCATGTCCTGCGGGGAAGCAATCAAAGGTTCCATTTCTCCACATGCACGTGGGTACACAGCCCTCTCCTTCCTTAAGAGCCTGCCAGACTGAGGGGCCTTAGCCTGAGCTGAGATGCAAAGTCACCACCCTCCTGGGAGGTCTCTGCACACATGAAGGAGACTTGTTCCTCACAACAGCTGCCTTGGCAGGGGAAGCGCTTGGTGAAGGTGACTAAGCTCCAACTGAAGCTCCGAACGCCGACCCCGAGAGGGGAACGGAGAGGGTTCGCCTCGGGCTGGCCAGCGTGAAAGATGAGACAGAAACACAAACTCCGAGACGGAGGGTCGGGGCGGGAAAAAGGAAAAGACGGGAGCGACACGCCCCTTCCTGTCTGACAGTCGCACTTCCGGGCCTTCTCTGCCTGAGATGCCCTCAAACCACCTTGTACTCTCGGGGCAGAAATGGAATGGGGTTTGCTGAGATTCCAGAACCTTCCTGAGCTAGTATATGTCCTCAAAGAGTAATACCCAATATTCAAAACCTCTTCAGTTGGTAATTTTGAGGACGGGGTAATTGCTGATGTGATCTCTTCTCACGCAAAGATGGAACCTGGTGGTTTATGTGGAGCTCTGCACGAAGCTTTTAAAGATAGCTCTGACTCTGGACACTGTACGGCCTTGCAGAGAAGAGCAGCATGCTCTCTAGGTCAGGAGGCAAGTTACACTGTCAGAGCCCCCGTTAGGCTGTCTAGTGGATCTCCTGAGCCAGTCTAGACACCAGGCTGAGGAAGATAACCAGTGATGAACAAGCTCAAGCCATCCAGGCACACCATGTGAGTGTGCTCAGCACCTTTGGGGAACGAGATGGACTGTTGGCAGAGAGGCTTCCTTGGGTGGGAAGCCACTGTGCCTGGTAAGAGTGACACACCACAGTAAGGTTGCAGCATGCCAGCTCCTTCTGGCTCATGCCATGTCCCAAGGACAGATGTTTCTGTGCAGCCTGCCTTTTATTATTATTATTATTATTATTATTACTATTATTTAGAGAAGTTGGAGGCAGGTTGTAATGGGGAGGAAGTGGGCATTGGGAAATACTGGAATCTGAGCAGTCAGAGAGCAGAGAACACATGTCGCCCAGACAATGAAGACAAACCGTCAGAGGCTTATGCTGCAGTTCAGTGTCTAGACCCTGACTTTGGCCTCAAAGGACAGACAGCTGGTGCTGAACTCAAGTTCAATTTTAAAGGCACAAACTGCATATAAAGACACAGTCAGACAGGTATAGCCAGGCAGACACAGCCAAACAGACAGAGGCAGCCACAGACTCAAGACTACAGATCCACTGTACCCTTTCCTGTGCAACAGAAAGCAGATGTGGCAGGCCCGCCTTCGGGAAGCTCTGGGGATCCACTTGGAGTCCCCTCCACACTAGAGCTCTTGGGAGCTGGGTAGTTAGGAGGCACTATGAGAATCAGAGTTGCTTTAAAGCCCAGACTCGAAGAGTGTTTGTGAGGCTAGGACAGATATGCGAGCTGGAAGAGGGGATCTCACGTGGAAATGGGGCTCATGACTCATCTGCATCAGGAGGCTGTGGGCATATAAGTCAAAAACACTGCCCAGCACAGAGAAAGAACTCATGCCCTGCTGCACATCCCTTGTGGCCCTGTTCCAGTCTGTGCTGCTCAGCGAAGTGAGGTCATATTCTCCTTCAGTCATCGGCTGTGGCTGCCTCTTCCGTTGTCTGCACTTCCAGCCAGGCCTTCCTTCCTCTAGGATGGCTGTCCTCCGCAGTACTCTTTCAGGGACTGACACCTTCCCCTTCCCTGTACCTCTCATGAGGTACAGATGAGGACAGAGGTCCAAATCCATGGATGATGGGGACTTGGGACCAGAAAGGAAAGCCAGGTACAGCCATCTGGTCCACCTGGGTGGAGAAACTGGGAAGGTGGCGGGACTAGGGGAAATGTGCTATCCCACAAGCCATAAGTGTCCCAAACCCAGCAGCCTTCTTAGATATACCAAGGACAAGCATGCTAAGAAAGAACTTAAGGAAACAATTTGATTTGCAATTGCAACAACATAAAAAAAAACCCGCAACAACAACAAAAAACCACTTGACATGAAAGTCTCGCTGAAGTAAAAACTCAGTCCTTAAGAAAGTAATAACATCCAGGAGTGATGCTGCATGACTTTAATCCCTACACTCAGAGGCAGAGGCAGGCAGATTTCTGAGAGTTCAAGGCTAGCCTGGTCTACATAATGAGTTCTAGGACAGTCAGGGCCATGTAGAGAGACCCTGTCAGTGACCTGATGGAAGGTTGACTATGTTGGACCACTTCCTCTGTGGAAAGGACAATGCTTTGTCTTTACTGGAGTAGATACTTGTTCTGTTTATGGATTTTCCTTTCCTGCACATAATGCTTCTGCAAAAGCCAGCATCCACAGACTTACAGAATACCTTATCCATTGTCATGGTATTCCGCAAAGCATTGCTTCTGACCAAGGAACTCACTTCACAGCGAGAGAAGTGTGACAGTGGGCCCAAGATCATGGAATCCGCTGGTCTCAGCATGTTTCCCACCATCTTGGAGCAGCTGTGCTGATGAAAAGATGGAATAGCCTTTTCAGTTAGAACACCAGTTAGGGAGCAGCAGCCTGGAAGGCTGGGCAGGGTTCTCTAGAAGTCAGTATGTACTTTGAATTATATATATTACATATAGCATTCAATATATGGTACAGTTTCTCCCATAGCCAGGATCCATGGATCCAGGCATCAAAGAGTGGAAAGGGGAACAGTTCCACCCACTGTCACACCTAGTGACCCACTAGGAATATTCTTTTGCTCTCTATTCCCATGACCTTAAGTTCTGGATAAGGTTTGGTTCCAGAGCAGGGAATGCTTCTTCCAAGAGACACAGCAAACATTCCTTTGAACTGAAAGCCCAGACTTCCCCCTAGACACTTTGAGCTTCTAATGCCCTTAAGCCAACAGGCTAAGAAAGGAATAACAGTGTTATAAGGGGCGATTGATCCAGACTACCAGGGGGAGATTGGATTGCTTCTTCATAATGGAAGTAAGAAAGATTATGTCCAGAGTGCAGGAGATCCTTTAGGGCAGTGGTTCTCAACCTGTGGGTCACAACCTCTTTAGGGGACCAGTAACCCATCCACAGGTCACCTATATCATTAGAAAACATAGATATTTACATTATGATTCATAACAGAAGCAAAATTATAGCTATGAAGTAGCAACGAAAATAATTATATGGCTGGGGTCAACACAACATGAGGAACTGAATTAAAGAGCATTAGGGAGGTTGAGAACCACTGCTTTAGGGCATCTCTTGGTGCTGCCATGTCCTGGGATTAAAGTCAGTGGGAAACTACAACATCTTGATCCAGGCAGGATGACAAAGGGCACAGACCCTTCAGGAATGAGGGTATGGGTCACTCCTCCAGGAAAAGAGCCAAGACCTGCTAAGGTGCTTGCTGAGGGTGGAGGAAATGCAGAATGGGTGGTGGAGGAAGGTAATTATAAATATAAGATAAGGCCATGTTGCCAGTTGCAGAAAAAGGATTATAATTGACATAAAATATTTCTATCATTTTTGTTAAGAATGTGTTTGGGCATATATAAACATTTAAAGTAGAGATTTATATTTTCTTCCTCAATTTCTTTATCCAGTAATATGAATTGAGATCATATTAGTGGTTATCATAAAGTTATGATACCCTAAAAGAATGGCCCTCAAGGGACATTGCTACCTATTCTCTCTCTCTCTCTCTCTCTCTCTCTCTCTCTCTCTCTCTCTCTCACACACACACACACACACACACACACACACACACACACGATGCATTTGAGGTCATACATGGTATAGTCATGTCATGTTATGATCTGGTGTGGCATTGTGGAGTAGTGTGGCCCTGTTGAAGAAAGTGTGTCTCTGTGGAGGTGGACTTTAAGGTCTTATAAGCTCAAGTCTGGCCAGTGGGACACAGACTCCGTCTACTGACTGCAGATCAAAATGTAGAACTCTCAGCTTCTTCTTCAGCACCATATCTACTTGCATATACGTCCCGTCATGAAAGTAATAGACTAAACCTCTGAAAATGTAAACTAGCTCCAATTAAATGTTTTCCTTTATAAGAGTTGCCGTGGTCAAAATGTCTCTTCACAGCAATAAAACCATAAGACACATTCTTTGATTTCTCTATCATGTAATGTAACTTCAATTAAGAGAATATCAGTGGTTAACATATTTAATTTTGAGATATTAAAGGAATGTTCCTTAAGAGACACTGTTAACCAATCTAAATTTATAATGTATTTGTGGTTGTATGATGAATAGTTATATCACGTTAGACATAATTGTGACCTGGTTATTGTTTTCATTTGGAAATTAAGCATGACATAAGAGATATGATTGTGTGTCAAGTTGACAATTAATGCACTTGTAATGGCCATTCTTGGTTGTTAACTGGACTATATCTGTAATTAACTAAAACCCAAAGGGCTGGGCACACCTGTGAAGGAATTTTTTCTTAATTAAATCATTTGAAGTGGGACGACCTACTTCTATAAAATCTAGATCTTTGAGGTAGAAAGACTCACCTTTAATCTAGGCCGCACCTTCTGCTGGCAGCCTATATAAAGGACATGGAAGAAGGAAGCGTGCTTGTTCTTTGCCTGCTTGATCTCATTCTCACTAGCAAGTCCATTCCTTCACTGGCAATTAGAGCTGACTTCCTCAGGATTCCAGTGTAGACTGAAGACCAGCTGAGACATCCAGCCTGGTGGGCTGAACAACTGCGAGATCCCTGGCCCTTCTGTTGATAGGCAGCCATTGTTGGACTAGCTGACAACGGCCTGTAAGCCATTCAAATAAATTCCCTTTACACACACACACAGACACACACACACACACACACACACACAGAGAGAGAGAGAGAGAGAGAGAGAGAGAGACAGAGACAGAGAGAGACAGAGACAGAGACAGAGACAGGAGAGAGAGATTCATTCTATAAGTTCTGTTTCTCTAGAGAACCCTGACTAATACAGATAGAAAAGTGTGTCACAATTACACACTGTACACACAATAGAATGTTTTCAGCCATAAAGAATGAAGTCATGCCATCTGCTGGGAAATGAATGTAACTGGAGATACCAAGAGTGAGTGGATTAAACCAATTCAGAAAGTTGGTGTGGTTTTTTTTTCCCTCAGTTTCTAGATTTTATCTAAAATATATGATACATAATCATGTATGGAATTCGACAAGAAAGTAGAAGTGAACTATAGTGATATTTTATTTGTACTGAAATGTGATTTTATTTGTATGTTAATAAAGTTGCCTGGGGGTCAGAGCTAATAGCAAGCCATCACAGAAGTTGGGTGGTGGTGGTGGTGGTGGTGGTGGTGGTGGTGGTGGTGGTGCATGCCTTTAATCTCAGCTCTTGGGAGGCAGAGCTAGGTAGATCTCTGTGTGTTCAAGGATACAGCCAGCATGGAGACACACGCCTTTAATCTCAATACCAACCACAGAAGACCTGGAGGTCTGTACAGACAGGCAGTGATGAGGCTGTCATGTGGTTGGGTTTACAACCAATGAGAAGGCAGAACAGAAAGTCTTTATAAAGACAGACACATAGGAAGTAGGTCTCTTTCGGAGAGGTAGGAACACCGTGAGAGGAAGGGTAAGGTTTTTAGCTCTTAGCTCTGACCTCTTGGCTTTCTTCTTTGCATTGGTTCTGTGCTTCTTACTGAATAAGATGGTTACTTCTACAGTGAACAGTGTAGGGGAGAGTGTGAAAGATCTCAGCAGTTAAGAGAACTTACCATTCCTGCCGAGACCTGGGTGCAGTCCTTAGCCCCCTCCTCAGTGGCTCACAGCCATCTGTAACTTTAGTCCCAGGGGATCTAATGCCCTCTGGCCTCCCCAGGCATTCACCCATGCCTTTGGTGCACAATACCTCATGCAGGCTCACATGCACACAGACTTTCACACAAATAGAAATAAAATAAATGTGTTTAAAAAGCAAAGCCATCTAGGGGGTTAAAGGAATTAATGGAAGGGAAAGAGCTGGGGGAAAAAGGAGAGTAAGGAGTTATGAGAGTAAAATATGCTAAACATGCAATTTATACATGCATGAAAACCACACCTAACCTGCCAAAGACCATGAGCCCTGCCTGCCTTTCTGTTCCCTTACTGCATGCAGGTAGGGAGGCCTAGCTTTTCACCCTAACCTCATACACACCCACCAGAGCACACTTGTCCCCGTGCCTAGCTGGCTCACATCCTGGCAACTCCCCTACCCCTCTGCCACAGGCCTTGAGGACCAGGTGTCCTGTCCTACACCTGCTTTACACCCCGCCCCACCCCCTTCTTTATGTAGGCCATCCCAAATTCGTATGGAAAATTCCATCAGTGCTTGTTAACACCAGGGGAAGCCCTGGGCACCTCCCCTGACTCCTGAAGATTGAGAGCGATGATCCTATCACTCTACGGAAGGTCTGCTCCTGGGATTAGAAACCCCTGAGCTGGGCCTACTCCTGAAACCCCATTTGAACATCAACACTGAATCACCCAAAGACTGAACCTTAAGCCCCAGAGATCTGGTCAACCACCCGAGAAGTTAGAATAGCAGGAAACAGCCTCACTCAACAAATGGAAGACATGATTGATTCCATATCAAGAAACAACACCAATGACCTAGCTCCAACTGCTTAGGTCCCATCCCAAATATACAAACTTAAAACAAGTCTGCACCAAAAACTTGTACTCTCATAGTAACGACCTCCTGCTGAGAAAAGCTACTTAGATGATGTACAAGATGATTTCAAAATAGCAATAAACACGATTTTAAAAAAAGAACTCAAGAGGATATTAATGGATGCTGAAATACAGATGCAAAAACACAGTTGGATGAAAAAACTACAATGTATAAAAACAAAATTTAATGAAGAGAATCTCTCAAAAAAGCCAAAATGTATGCTTGCCTCAGCAGCACATATACTAAAATTGGAACAATTCAAAGCAGACTGCCCAAGGATGATGCACTGGCTGGTTTTATGTCAACCTGACACAAGCTAGAGTCATCAGAGGAAACTCAGTTGAGGAAATGCCTCCATGAGACCCAGCTGTAAGGCATTTTCTCAATTAGTGAGCAATGGGGGAGGGCACAGCTCATGCGGGTGGTGCCATCCATGGCCTGGCGGTCCTGGGTTCTATAGGAAAGCAGGCTGAGCAAGTCATGACAAGCAAGCCACTAAGCAGCCAGCAGCCCTCCATGGCCTCTGTATCAGCCCCTGCCTCCAGGTTCCTGCCCTGCTTAAGTTTCTGTCCTGGCTTCCCTCAGTGATGGACTATAATGTGCAAGTGTAAGCTAAATCAACCCTTTCCTCCCCAACTTGTTTTTTGGTCACGGTGTTTCATCACAGCAATAGTAACCCCAACTAAGGGAGATAACATGCAAATTCATTAAGTGAAATATAAAGGGAAAAACTTGAAAAATCCAGGAATTCAGATAAAATGCTCAGAGGAACTTCTCACCGATAGATTGTGTGGAACAGAAGAGAGAACACTGGGTCTTAACGACAGGGTGTTGGAGGAATTGAACTACGCAGTCCAAGAAAATGTCAAATCCAAAAACCTCAAGCATAGAACATGCAAGTTCTGGGACACTAACTACAAAAGACAAAGTCTGGGAATAATGGGTGTCAAAGGAAAAGAGACCCAAGTCAGAAGCAGAGAAAATATTTTCAACAAAAATCATAGAAGAGAATGTCCCAAATCTAAGGAAAGAGATGCCTATCAATATCTAAGAGGCATTAAAAACAAAAACAAAAACAAAAACAAATGGACAAAACCAGAAAAAAAAAAACTCCCCACATCATAGTCAAAACACTAAATGTACAGAACAAAGGATATTGAAAGCAGCAAGAGAAAAAGATGAAGGCACATCAGAATCCAGCCAGCCCACCAGAATCATAACAGATACAACAGATGTGAGGCCTGCCCTTTCTTGAAGAGAAAGGAAGAGGAGTGGAGGGGGGTAGTGATGGAGAGGAGAGGTTGGGGGAAGGACTTGTAGGAGGGGAGGAAGGGAGGGTGGGGAAAATATTATAATTTTTAAAAAGATGAAAAGGGAGACATTACAACACACACTGAGAAAATTCAGAGAATCATAACATACATAAAAATCTCACAAAACCAGAGATTTTTAAAAACTGGACTAATTTCTGTATATATACAATTTACCAACATTAAATCAAGATTAAGTGAATATTATAAACATACCCATAACACCCAATTAACTAGAAGCAGTAATTAAACATCTCTCAACCAAAAAACTCCAGGTACAGATGGATTCAGTGCAGAATTCTACCAGACTTTCAAAGAACTAACGCCAGTACTCCTCAAACTATTTTGTTCTGCAAAATGAAAAAGAACACCCCAAATTTCTGAAGTCAACATTACTCTGATATAAAAACCAGACAAATATTCAACCAAGGAAAGAAAGAAAGAAAGAAAGAAAGAAAGAAAGAAAGAAAGAAAGAAAGAAAGGAAGGAAGGAAGGAAGGAAG